CCGACTTAATCCGTTGTTGCTTGGGTTTGCTATGACCCCTCAAGTGGACAGACAATTGAAGAATGTCCATGGAAGCTTCAGTGGAAAGTGAGTCTCTGTGGTGTGCATAATGAATAATACTGACCTTTTTCAGGGGGGTCTCAATCCATTGTCTGCCATACGAGATCGTTCTCCTTGTTATACGGATTATGTTGGGGGAGAGTAGTGAGTTCGAATGGACTTTTTTATTGGACCGGCTTCGCCTCAGCCACATATGTTTTAAATGGAGGGCCATAGTTTTGGACAATGTCGAGTTTTGGGGGCATTTACAGGAAGTTCATGCCACTGTTCCTTGCCATTCCTGCGCTCCTGCTTGGTTCGTAGCAAACAGGCTTCTCTCGTCGTTCGCCTTCATCTTATCGGCGTGAAGAAATTAATAGACGTCGTTACGGGCGTACATGGAAACAGGTCAAGTTCAGTGGGGGTTCTTCGCGCATTTGTTTTTTTTTTTTCAAGGTCGAGGTTCTATGTGTCGTCTTCCGCGGCCGCCGCGTGCTAGAGGAAATGCGTGGCATTTTGGAAGCCAACATTTTTGGCAGGCTCCGTGCTCTGAACATGGACTTTAAACTGTACCTTCATCATGGACCGTATCAAATAACTATCGACTCTGTGCTCGCGTTCCCTCTTCACATGCCCGCGCCCACCACGCTTCGCTTGCACGGTGTCGACCTCGACTGGTCTATGCCACGCCCATTTCCTCGCTTATGTATCCTCGTTCTCCGAGACATGGGCCATCATGTCACCTTTATGTGGGCCGATTTTCGCGATTTATTTGCAGGCGTGCAGAGCTTGCAAAAACTGGCCATCATCAATGTCCGTTGCTTGAATCCACCGGTTATCCGCGAACATGCTTATTCCCTGCCTCGATTTCCTCACCAAGCTCTATGTCTGCTGTGGCAGCCATACGTCGTTCAAACACGTATTGGCTAAGATGAGTTGCGCGTCCGGTCTCTTGCTGCATGTCCATGCCAGGCTGGAGCAGGGGTTGGAAGCCTTTATCCGATGTGCAGATATGATGGACGCGGTGACCTTGTTCACATACTCTGGGTGGGCATGTGATCCTCTCTGCACGTGTATCATCTTCGAACATTTGCCGGGTCTCACGCGTCTCGAGCTACTCTCCGTAAGTGCTGATATATTGAACTCACTCCTACTTGCTGACGAGCATGGGGTGGACATATATTTGTGCCCATACCTTAATACTCTTTTCGTGAGTCGGTTGGATCCTTCATCTGTTTGTGGTTTCTTGAAGAAGAGAGGAGAGGGGTTAAATGTGATGAAGAAGGTTGGTTTCGAGGATTTTGTTGAGTTGAAGATGAATATGCGGCAGACCTCGAGTGGCTGAAGTCGAAGGGTATAGAAGTGGAGACGGGAGTAGAGTTCAGGACAGCCGTATGGTTATCCGAGTATTAGATTATGTGTTTATCACTGTTGGCGTGCTTGATGGTGGAGTTTCGCTTGTCACGGGGTAAGATAACGGATTTTCATTTCATTTTTATTTTTATTTTCGCATGGCATCGACTCCGGATAATTCTAATCAGAAACGCCCCTACTTTCAGCACAGGGGCCGCTAAATAGAAGTTTTTCTATTTAGCAACCCCATGATAAAACTCAAACTGCTGTCGATCGCCGCCATCCCAGCGAAATGTCGTCCCTATGGTTTGATGTAATTTTTCCCATCCACTAATGTAAATTTGGTTGAAGGGGTCTGCTAAATATATAGTTTCGGTATACATGTATGCATTGGGACTCCAGAGCTTTGCATCGAATTGGGTGCAAGCTTCGGAAGACGCCGGTTATGCGATCGACTCAGCGCGATCACTTGACCGGGTGCAATCTAACGGTGCGTCTCGGAGCAAGCGTAGCGGTGTGCTCTAATTAGCACTGAAGAAGAGAATAATGGCCTGAGCAAGGACCAGGGAATATATGTGGTTGTACTATGCCTAACTACTAAGCTTGGAAAGATGAATGCAAGTGTCGTGTCGAAGTGGAAAATTGGCATACGGGGTAGGTAGGTAGGGAGGATTACATGGCCGGTCCCTCTCCGGAACGCCGGGCCCAGGAAGTATTAATGGGAGAATTAATTCTCAGGAAATAAAAATCCGGGATGAGTGAAAATATTTGGGAGCATAGATGATATGTAGAAGAGTGAGAGAAAAGAGTTATCTGTATGCCCACATCTGTAGCTTCATCACAGCAAGCAATTTCACACTTGGTCCCACAATCCATGTGCCCATTTCATTTTATACCCAGCCACACTGTGATTTCATCGGAGTCGTTCCGGTAAGCCGTACACCCCAGCTCTTGGTGGATATGTTGTCATGTGTTTTCTCCATATTCGTTAATTTACATAGCTGTTGAGTACTTATAAATGGTTAAGTGTTGTGGCATCCTGCCGCTGCCTCTCCTCTATGTCTGAGGTGCTCAGAGCTGGTAACCATGGCTTAAATATCCATGGAAACTTTGTCTGGTGAGCTAGAACAAGAACAGCTTGTGTTGACGGGTGAGAATGGGTTTCTTATCCATCCGAAATCATGACAACTTTTGATGAGATAACTCAGAATTGATCCCGTCCACCGTATGCGCACGGCACCATGTCAGGCTGACCCAGGAATGAGTTGGGTTGTTGAATAGCAGCAACCACCCTGGTCCCCCCGTGTTCATGGTACGGGGATTGCTGATTAGAATTATCCGCCTACTCCCAAGGAAGGCTGTAAACAAAGTGTTTGGTGGCGCCGTCTTTGTATTTAAAATTTCAAGCATCCAAGTAGTGGCAAATTTGCTTTGGCATCCTGCTTTTTTATTTTAGTTTTTTTGTGAACTTGAAGTTTATTGCCATACATCAGCTAAAAATCTGTCCGATGAAAGATGTCGTAGATGTTTAATCCTATTTAAATACCCGCAGTGGTTGCGATTCTGGCAGGGAACCAGTGCCCCATAACTATCCGCGCAGTTTACGTGATTTTGATTGGCTTGCAATCGGCAAACAAGCACGGGTCGGGCAGGGAAAGACTCGGGACAAAAATTTGGTTGAATTGGGCAACTGCAAGAGCCATCTATCTTATTACGTGGCGCTATCCAGAGGCACTTCTGCTGCCGGTACAGCAATTATGCAGGGGTTCGACGCTAGTAAGATAACCAGTGGGATGTCTGGTTACCTTCGGTAGGAATTGAGAGAATTGGAAATTCTTGATGATATAACTCGGTTAAAGTTCGACGTGTGTTACCCAAACATGTTGCGGGCTTGTACCGAATCCCTTTGCTCAGATCTTATCAGGCATGGAAAGGTGCTAATTACGAGTTGGCTAGTTTACATGGTGCTATCAAATGGCGCCGTGAGATGGGTCCTCGTGTCCCGGACTCAGTTGTTTATGACTCATGGCACCAGATGGGAAAGAAAGGGGCTCGACAAGATTCGTATAAGCGGCGGCGCTCTGAGTCTGAGACTGTATCTGTAAAAACGAAGAAGTCCAGGGCAGATCAGCCGCAAACCGCTGGTAAGTTGCCTTTAATGGGACTCAGATGGGACAGCTGTGGTTTTAGTTGTGCATATGATTGTTTGTTTAGTTTAGTATCTTGTGTAATTTGTGGATGGATGATGTTATTTTGAGGACAATGCAGCTGAAGGGTATGTCCGATGAAATGGGTGCGCTGATCAATGGATTTAATCAAGCGTTGGGGGGCCGGTATACTCTAGAGCAAGGCAGGGACATGGTACATCGCATGCTTCATACAAAGCATCTTGAATATTTTCCTTACGGGCACAGCAATGCCAGTGTCGATTGACTGGTGGATCACATATTTCCTCCAAGTTCGAATGGCGATGCTGTTACATGCTGTGCTCGCTGCGGTTTCCAGGAGGGAGGCACTGTACAGACTTTTGGTCATCATATTACCGTGACTCTTCCTCCCGCAATTCGCCGTGAGCCCGGACAGGTCGTCAGTATGGGTAAATGGATCCAGAATCATTTGCTGCATAAAATGGGTTCTTGTCCAAGATGCTTAGATGATCAAGTAGAATCACCATTGTACAGGAAGACGACGCTGACATCTGTTCCCGCAGTGCTGTGCTTGTCTATCACTAGTAAGCAGGTTCAACTGGATCCCGTATTGCGCTTTAATTGTGATGGGCGTAGGGTGGTCACCAAGCTGCGCAGGATCATATATCATGGAGACGAACATTTTACAAGTCGCATGTTCACTGCCAACGGCGATATATGGTTTCACAACGGAATAACTACGCGGCCCTCAACCAGATTTGAGGGCAATTTGAGAAACATTGCTCTGGCCACCCTTCATACATATCGCAGGAAACGCCACGCTCACCGTGTATGCTGTGAGTGTTTCATGAAACTGTCTGGTAGGGTCCATCTGGCTGGTGATCTCATGCAATGAGTTATCTTATATTTATTCTGTCTGTTTTCGATAATTCTGAGGTTGGATGTGATAACCTCCGGCCAAAAAAAATAGGAAGTATGAGCACACTACATCAGGACTTTTCGGTCTTAAATGATACTTTGATACATTAAATGCAGGTGATAGTCCAGAGACTGTTCCAAGACCGTTATCTTATTTCTTATGTGGTGTTGCCAAAATACCAATCCAGGCTGGGACTGGACTCATACTGCCATGCAAAGCATTGGCCCACAAGCCAAGTAGGTTTATTTTGGATGAGGCGAAGAAAAAGAAGAAAAAAAGAAATGATGTTGTTTCGATGGCAAACAGCCATATGACCTGACCTCAGTTTGAACATGGGACCCCCACCGAAATGACACAAGCCAGCTCAGTCAGGTGCAGTGGATGCGATGCCGATTTCATTATTATAATATTAGGACTTCCTACCCTTCATTCAACCCTTCCTTAATGATTTATTTCTGTCGAAACTTGGGGGGTGAATGAAAAAAACCTACCAACAATTATGCACATTTTGCGGATAAAAAAATCACAGGATGGCCTCTGAATGACCTAACCTCGATTTGAACGAGGGACTTCCCGTCACAGAAATTCTCCAACGGCAGTGGATGCGATGTCAATTTCGCTATTAGGCCTTCCTACCCTCCAGTTGAACCTGAACTAGTACGGAATTATTTCAGGCTTTTTTGTTTGAATAAAAAATATTTTGAGGCTACGAAGGAGGAATCTCCACATAATCCAAATCACATTTCCTCAAGATTCAGTGGACGCGATACCAATTTCGCTATTAGGTCTTCATTCTGGTATCATTCTGCACCTTGTATGGTGGTGTGTGATTACTTTGGGCTTTCGTTTGGAGTGAAAAAAAACAGATGTTGAGTCTGCACTAACAACCTAACCTCGGGTCGAACAAGGGACTCCCACAGCAACTCTAGGATCCCTCTAACGGCAATGGACACGATACAGTTTTCGCTATTAGGTCTTCCTCCTTTCTTCCCGGACTTTGAGTACTGTGCAAGTCTGAGAGAGAATAAAAAGAATAAAAAGACTCACCAAATCCCATAATGACCTAACCTCGATTCGAACGAGGGCCTTCCACATAGGCATAAATTAATACTCGGCAAGTGCAGTGGATGCGATACCAATTTTGCCATTAGGGTGAGTGTCCGGGGGCCTATTTCAACACTCAAAGAACTCACGAACGGCTGCGCCGTAATCCCACGATTCTTATCTCGCTCCTTTTGTCGTTAATTTTCTCATTATGCCCGAAATTAGCAGTCATCCAGCTGCGCCGCAATGCTCCCCTTCCTGCTCTTGCTCTCCTGCCCTTCGTCTCGACGTCTTCAACCATCCAATCTCCTCTGCGCAGTTTAATTTTATAGCTGAGACCCCATGTGGCTCAACAGCTGATCGGAACGCAGTTTGATCTTGACAGGATGCTGTCAATTCCCGCTGCGCGGCAGCCTGCGGTACAGTTTAATTTTATGTTAAACCAGGGCATATTTTGCAGATATAACAGGCCTCGTTTCCCTGCGTTTATCCTGGCGATTTCCCCCCACCCCATTTCTCTCGCACCCGAAACTGGAATTGCAAACATTCTTCCCGTAACTATTCGTGTCGGGATCCGTCAATGGGGGGGGGGGGGGGGATTTATTATATTTGTGTGATCCAAAAGCCTGAACAACGAGTTTACGAGATATACAAACATGTAGTACTATCAGGGTGGTTATCCGTCAAGAAAATCTACAAGATGTAAACCGAGCACAACACCATTCCAGGGGGCCGATCACACAAGACACTGGCTTACTGTGACTGTGTGTCTCTCTGCTACGGGGATCTTTATTTCTGGGTTGACTGTGAACCTCTCTTGGCTCTCGCTTGGATTGGCACGGGTAACCACCTGAGTTCCTTCTTCAAACCACTCGTCTACATTTGCCTACAAGTAAGGTGATCACCAATCTCGCTGGTTACCTCGGACTTCTCGCAACATGAATTGTTCCTCGCCTGGCGCCCTTCAACTTTGATTTCTGGTCTTTCTGTACTGAACCAATCGCTTACCCAGGTACTTATTGTGTATTCACAATTTGTGGTCCGTATTCGGTTTTGGTTCGGTTGTATTTCGTGGTACGTCTGACTAAAAAACTCAGACCTTTGTGGAATGAAGGTTAGAGACCTATAGATGTACGGAGAACCATTGTGAAGCTAATGCAGACAATACTTGCCATGATTACAGCAGATGTGGCAAAAATATCATCCACTTCAGCTCATAAATCAATGATTTCTATTTGCTTCTTGTTAGGGAGTAGTTGTGACGTCCATTCTTTCGCTAAAAAGATGTTTTGAATATCATCAGATGCGTGTTAAGACGCGCCGTTGCCGCGTCAGTGCGCGCCGGTGCCGCGTCAATGCGCGCCGGTGCTGCGTCAGTGCGCGTCGCTGCCGCGTCAGTGCGCGTCACCGGCGCGTGACTGCCGCGTCAATGCCGCGTTAGTGCGCGTCTTGCCGCCTCAACGCCGCGTCAATGCCCGGCAGCTGCGAGGTCAATGCCATCGCCCAAATAACTCAGTTTCCATTCCAGTAATTGAGTTACTACCTTTTGTGCTCCATGGTGCTCTGTTGGTCGATTATTAGCCTGTTTGCAGCACCAAACCTGTTGAACCTTTGCCATATAGCACAGTTGTCGTACTATTGGTAAGTCTTAGCATGCGCTTCGCCACATTCGAGGTTCGCAGGTTTTCCGTTCAGCGTAGGTGAAGGCACCACGCAACAAGAATTCACACCGCGGCAGCAAGCTCAATGTCCGTGTAATTCCCACTACAACTGTGCAGCTACGTGACAGTCTTCACGTAATTACAGGGCCAATAGACTGCTGAGTACGGGGGAATTTCCAGCACAGGATGAATAATTTTCAGATAAGGTTTAACACCCGTTCAAGAAGGGATGAACATTTTTCTAGTATAAACATCACTTTCTACAAAATACGGCTATTTGGTCAAGTACCATTTGAAAATGAACAGACTTGTATAAATTGAGGACGAGAAGTTAGCACAGAGGGCTCATCAGTCAACCAGCTTCTTGAGTGTGAGTATCTAGCTTTTAATGGCACATGTTCAAGCCCAGACCATCATTAAAGCAATATTCCAAATTCATGTTCATTCCTGAACCATTCAAACGGTTTGACGAGGGGGACAGATGTGAACTCATTCTAAATTTTCACTGATGGGGTTTGTTGTCATGAAATGAGTTCACAACAGCCCCTGTTTGTTTTTTCCAATTGCGGGATATATTTTGGCAACCCCAAAATATATCGGTAGATGACGATAACGACAACAACGGGCGAAGGGGACATAAAGGAGGAGGCCATTTGTCTTGAAACAGACAGGGACGACCGGTTTCCAGATGAACCGATCATAAGATAGATGTATAAAATCCAGTAGATAGAATCATGTACAGTAGATTCTATCTTGTCTAAACTCCGGCTTTGCTTTGACTAGAACATTGCCTGAAGACTTGACATTCGCTTCTTGCCTGTTGTGGGTTTGCAGTGCCTATACCCCGCATCTCCCTATCCCGCACCCTTGACTATCCCTATATGCGGGGTAAACTGCTATTGGTCTACGTCTACATTGCAGGATAGACAGGCTATCCTTCGCACACACTTATACAGTGGTTTACTCAGTCCCAGCGGGCTACATTCACAACTGACTCAAGCCAACCCAAGGGCCGTCACTGACATTAGTTGAATCAGACTCTCATTGGATATCTCTGAGAGTATGATTCACTGCTTGCGGCCACTTGAAATTCAGTCAGAATTGGATCCCAGGTGGAGAATATTATCAAAGACCTCGTGAGTAAGGGTTCAGATCTGTAAGTCGCTTTGAATATGAATATCAATCATACCTTGATTATTGATAAAATATATTTCAACTCGTTCAGTTGAAATGATCGAATGATTCAAGTAATGTGAACCGCAGCTTCAACAACTGGAGCAGAAACAAATTAAATCTGAGATGAACTGAAAGCATTTACAGCCACTCTCACCTGTTCAATATTGAAGTTTCTACTCTGCTTCTTTATGCAAACAATGACTTGGAATTGGAATTTAAAGGACTTGTGTGGTTGAATTTCATTTTGTAAATACACTTCTACTTTACCAACTGGTTCCAGATGAGAGCTCTTAAAAATATACCGACCTACGTAAAATATTTGGCTCGGGAATTTGAATCAAAATGTTGGACTCCTTTCTGCCAATATGTGCAGTTAGGTTCCAACCCGCTTATGACATGAATAGTAACACGGTAATATGACCCAGTATGGCACACAGCATGCCAGAAACTTCCAAGCAGGTTCTCCGCAGGAACTCTGGCCTATTCAGTTGTCTGTTCTACATCTGCATGTTACATTATTTTATTCTGAATTTTCGATATTGAGGTCCAAACAGATACTTTACAAAACAATAACATTCATTTCATTTCTCAAAAGTGATAACACCTTCACAGTCGATTACCCAATGAGAATTCAAGTTCTGCTTTGGCCAACTTACAGCTCCATTGATAAGAAGTCACCAGCTTCAGGAGCACTCAGTTCACAAGCAATCACAAAGCCCTTACACCAGTTGTCGGATTAAATGGCTAAACTGAACTGAAAGTGTTAAAAAGGTGTACCCAGCATCCTCCCTTCAAACCACAGGCACTTTCAAAAAAATTCTCGGCCCAGTAGAAACGGTTTCAACTGGAGCGACCTGATTAACGCTCAGAGACCCAGGACTCGAGGTTAATCCTGAAATAAATTGCCGGTAATCAGTAGCAGTCTTTGATTTTAGCCCGTTGGAGAAGTGTTATCAAAGGAGAAATTAAGCTGAACAACATCAGAAATGAATCAGCAACGAACTAGAGAAGGCGGGGAAGAGTGTAGTCACATGAGAAAGATCGCATCTGGGGGGGCAAACATGAGATTACTTTAACATTGATGAGTCAAGTACATACGGCCACTGCGTGAAGCAGGAAGTTAGAGCTTGAGATGTATATACCGGTAAGAACTGCCATTTAATATGAGCTATGAGTGTCCTTGAGGAAGATGAATTAATTGGTGTAAATAGGAGTGCAAGTATGGGCAACTCGAAGCAGATTTTACAGTTTTACGGTGACCCAACTGCCCTAAATTTGTCTTAGGACATGAATAAAGGTCACTAAAAAGGTCTAGAACCACTTTAGGACACACCACCTCGACTGCCGCTAGTTTACGCCACTTTACCGGACCCAACTGACCAATAATTAAGGAGCATATTTTTTGGTCTAAGCAATGCATTGGCATGAGAAAATTTCGTCTGACTTTGCCCCAGTGTAGAGGAAACATTTGGTAAAGTGTTAGAGGTGGCGTGTCCATGCCGCGTCAATGACACAGCCACGCCGCGTCTGTGCCGCGTCACCGCCGCGTCCACGCCGCATCAATACGCGTCACTGCCGCGCAATGCGCGTTACTGCTGCGTCAGTGCGCATCACTTTTACCGGACTCCTTATTTAGACCCCACCTCACCTCGCGTCCCCCCATGAACACAACCACCCATGCAATCAACTAATTCGACCTCTTCACACTGTCGGGAGCACACCCCGGAACAGGACGGAATTGAAGGCGAGGGCAATTGATGACGACAGGGGAGCAAGATGACGACAGGTGGAGCGAGACGGCGACGCAGCATCAAACAGAGGTAAGCAAAAATGGAGCATCAATATTTTACGGAACCCCTCTATAGTTTACGAAACAGCTGTACTCAATGGCCAATTACTCGCTCCTTATGGCTTTTCTTTCTCTGACTTGGGGTAAAGGGCCGTGGCGTCGCCCGGCATGCAACTCGTACTTACTTTTTTTTTTTTTTTGGTTATATGTTCCAAGTACCAAATGATAAGATTAAGCATAAGAATAAAATAATATCAGAAGAAGAATGGCCTCACATCGCCTTCGGCATCCCGTTCCCGGGTTTCTCAAAGTTGATGTGCTGCGGTGGGCGGGAGGCGCAGCGCAGCGGGCCGACTTGTTGATGCGCTGCAGTGGGTGGGAGGCACATGGCGATGTGGGATGCTCAGCGCAGCGGCGCAGGGCGGAGCGGGCCGCGGGTGTGGAAAATTACGGAGCGCTCGTTGATGCACTACGAGAGTCGGTG